CAACAAATTATCTTTTACAAAACTGATATGTAAGAAAAAATTTTTCCCACGTATATTTTCAAAAATCATATTCAAATATCATAAATGTATTAAAAAAAAATTCAAATATCATCATGCTAATTGCTAAATGAAATAAAAATTCAAATATGATCATGCTAATTGCTAAATAAAATAGAAAAATTCAATTTATTGTTTGAAAATTAAAAATTTTCTTCCTTTCTAAACTTTTTTTTTTAATTTGAAATTTGATTTTTTTTTTTTGTTCACTTTGTTTGCTTCAATTTTCTCTCACATCTTTTTATTCTCTCACTAACAAATGCCCACTCACTATTCATCTTCCATTCTCATCCTTCCTCGTTCATTTCCATCAATATCACTTAAAAATTTTTGGTGTAAACTTCGCGCATACGTCACACTTCGAATGTCTCTCTCCCTCTCTCTTTCATTTGTTTGCTCGTTTCCTTTTTTTTTTTTTTGCTTTACTTTGTTTTGTAATGTTTAAAGATGAGAATGGCAATAAACGTTTGTTATCAGGTTAACTGATAAGAAGTTAGAAAAGTAATCATTAAATACAATAATTAACCAATCATTTTAACCACGTAAACAAATTTTAGTTGTTAATAATACATGTGGCAAATAAATGATTTCTAATATCATTTTCTCTTTCAGACAAACAAAAGAAACGAATAAACAATATGCAATATTGGTTGAAATTATTTGTATAAAGTTAAACTGATAATATCAGTTAAAACGAAAAATTTTTCAACACTTAACACAAAAACTGCCATAACAACAACATCATGAGGTTGATTTTATTATGCTTCTTTTTTTTTTTTGTGCAAAAATTAAACTGAAAGAAAAATTAAAATTTCAAAAATTTTGCATAAGCTAAATGGCAATAATATATTGTTTTGCTTACTATTAATTGATTAGATTAATTATATGTTTATTCATTATCGATTGGACAGATTAAACGTAATGATTATCGATCATAATTGTTGTACGGTTGAAAATGGATTATTGAAATGTAAGTATGTTCAATGGCAAATGTATAAGGTATTAATGGCAAATATAAGCAAATATAAGGTATAAGGTATTAAGCTTGAAATTACATTCAGATCAAGCGTGACATTTTAATGAGAAATAATACAATCGGTCATATTCTGTTCAGTTGCTTTTCTTTATTTAAAACGATCAATGGACGTAGGAATAAAGTTGTTTTTTAAGGAATTAGCTAAAAGATATACTGAAAGTTATGCACACGCTTTTTCTTTTAATCATTTGTTTCACTATAAACAAGATTGTTTTATCTAGATGAAATTTGTATGCAAATTATTTTATACATAGCAGTATTTATTAATCCTACGAGGAAAACGTGAATTTTTAATTATACACATATAGAACTATTTTAAAAACTACAAAACCGTAACTATTTTAATTATAACTGTTTTAATTAAAAGTTACAAGGTGAGTTATCATAGTGTGTGCTTTTTTGATTTTTCGATAAACAAAAACCGTTTTGTCTGAACGAAATATCCATGTACTTTTTAGATGTTTATATATGCCTGTCAGCTGAAATTATGTCATTTATTATAGAATTTTTAAAAAAAAAACCTGTGGGAAAGATTTTCATGCTCATATAAAGTGATTTGATAGACTACAGTTATAGAGAAAATATGATTAAATTTAGTTTTTTTTTTCTTTCATTTCCTATATCAGCATTTCACTTTAACTAATGTACTTTTTTAGCCAAAAACAAGTACAATCCAATCATGATAATGAAAAACGGAATGATCGAAGTGTAAGCGCTGTTAGACGAAGGTTGTATTATCCTCGACCACAGCTTCAAACTTCTGCTCTTGTTTATTGTGCATTACAGGTCTTTCTTTATCATTGAAAGTTATTATCATTGCTTTATTTGGTAGTATATTTAAGCATATAAACTTCAACCTTTCTTTATAATTTTCATGAGATTATTTCAGTTGAGTGTTCTGTAACATCCTTTATCTGCTTTCATAGATATTAGATTGGCAGAATTTGCCACAGCATAATTGATTCAAGAAAAAAAAAACTAGAAGGAAATTACTGGGATCAAAAGGAAAAGATCAACAGAAAGTAAAGTATTTGGCAAAGTATTATTTTTCCTCTGCATAAATCCAAAATACTACGAGTGCAAAATCATTGGAATCCTTTTTCCTCTCTGTTACAAGCATACTTTCCTTCGAATATTTTGATGTATGAGAAAATATGATGAAATACAATGTAAAGTTAATATTTCATGCCAAACATTAATCGATGTTGTTTGATAGACAAATAAATTTGCCAAATAATGAGTTGCAGATAAAATCCGATTTGGCTGTTTATTATTTGTTCTATTTCAACAAATTTTCAGGTAGTGTTTATAGCATTCTTATTCAGCTACAATGGTATTAGTACTGTTGATGTTTTATTTCCCATTTTATCGTGGATATCGGAATATTCTCGAAAGGTATGCCTGCAAATTTTTACCTACGATAAAAAGGATTTCTTCAACTAAATTATAGAAAAAGCGTACTATATTTTCATTTTTAGTAATGATGCATAGCCGACTATTTTGCTTATTTTCCTAACTGTTAAGGTTACCTATTATTTTTTGCTAAAATTTCGATAGCAGCTTATCGAATTGCCAAATATAATATATGCTTTGATAGCTTTCTTTGTCAGAAGATAATGAGCAAGTTTCATTATGCTTATCATCAATATTTCAGCTTCCATTGGTCGAAAGTGTCATTGACTCAATTCGTCAATTGCTAGATAGTTTGGTTTCTTTAATTAAAGATAAATATTTCGAAACTTCATCGTCTCCAACTAAAGGAAGTCGTACAAAACAAAAAGTTGATACAAATAATATTGTATTTATGGAGAAAGTGGATAATAGCTTACCAGTCTTAACAAAGTATGATTTCTTCTATGCATCTATTTCTGTCCTTTGGTTGAATTTATGTTTTTGTTCTTTAGTTGAAATTTTTTGCCAGTAGTCCATTTTATGCAATGAGGCATTACAGGGAGCAGTTATCTTTTTTCGATGGAACGCGCCCGTCTAAGGGAACTTATCTTGCCATATTAGGTCGTATATACGATGTACAAAAAGGTGCCAAGCATTATGGTCCTGGTGGTTCATATAATTTCTTTGCTGGTATCTTTAAGCTATTTTTCTTAGATTTGCTTATCTCATGAATTACGGATACCCATCACTCATTGCTAACTAATAACCAAACAGAAGAATTTAACCCAGTACGATACTTTTATATAGAAATGATCTACATTAGAATGATTTAGGTTTATTCAGGACAGATAGAAGTACGAGGAATGAGATATTGACAACATATTATATGATGTTTGAAATACTGAAAACCAAGTGATTTTAGGATTCAATTAGTATAGTTTACTATACCATTGATAAACTTGTTAACAAATTATAATGAATTATAAGAAGAATAAATAGAGATGTCGTGCTACTTTTTTTGTATCTTCATAACAAATATTATTATTTAATATATCATTATCATTAAAATTTCAATTTTTGTTTAGGTCGTGATGCAACACGCGCATTTATCAGTGGAGATTTTACCGAAAAGGGTCTAATAGATGACGTTGAAGGTTTTGGTGATCAAGATCTGTTGGGTATATTTGACTGGATCAAATTTTACGAAAAAGATTACGATCTTGTCGGTTATCTGCAGGGAACGTATTATGATGCTTCTGGTAAACCAACTTCACGTTTAAAAGTGTGGTTTTTAGCAATTATTTGTGTAAATTACTATGATTAAATTTGACATGCTTGAAGTAAAAAATGGGAAAAAAATTCTGTTAAATGGATTTTTATTATGAACAAAATTTGATTCATTGTGATACTGGTACATATATTACACTATAAAATCAAAAAGTAAAACCCTCGTATTATTCAGAAGAGTTTGATCTGAATTATGTCTGTTTGAAGTATCTTCTTTTTCATCTTAGTGTAATATTTTATAGTATGATAGTTTAATATTATGATTTTTTTACAAAATTTATTGCGAAGTAACGGTATATAGCGACACTAAAAAATGAAAAGTTTATGCGTCGAACCATACGTGCTTGCAGAACTCAAAATAAGTTCCTTCTGATATTACAGAAATCACATGTATAGGATCCGCCATGTCTTAAGGAAATTGCATTGATAATATAATAATCAGAATTATGAAAATTGGAGCATTATAGTAAAGTTCTTAATGATTTATCCAATTATACTTCCTTGTCATTCATACTTTCTTGGTATAATTTATAGTTAATCTGTTTAGTAGAAGCAAATTTTGGAAAATATTTCTAATTTCAGGAGGTAATTAAATTGATAGAAAATGCTTTTAAGCGGAAACATATGCAAGCAGAAGAAGCAAAAATTTTTCCACCTTGTAATTCCGAATGGCAAAAA